AATGACCCAAAAGTTATCAGCAGCTGCGTGGAATATTGCTAAAAGCAGCATAAAACTCAATCACTTAAAAGAAACTCATAATTTCTACATGTACAGACACTACCAACCATTTTCTATTACATGAATCACTAATGATTCAGATGGAACTAACAGTTGGAGACTATTAATAAAAATTGTACAAAACCATTGATAACAACAACATAAAGTAGTCACATAAGTGACATAAGAAAATTGTGTTCTAAAGTTAGTTTCATTGCTGTTCATCTTGTTTATCAATATGATCAAAGACTAAACAAAACATTTCCTTTTAACTGCTTCTGAAAGGACCCCTTGAACAAACTAATAATATTCTGTACAATTTCCTTATTTCAACACATCACTGGGTTAGATTCACCATGGTTCACACACTAGCATCACAGGCTTCATACCAGGCAGCAATCCCAGCATCACTTCAAACTACAAACAATCATGGGGTCCAAACTTTGTTAAGGTCTCAATAATGTAACTACAAATTAAGTCCCAGTTGACCTGACTGACTGACTGACTAAGTTTGGTTTTATGCCGCTTTTAGCAATATTCCAGCAACATCACGGCGGGGGACACCACAAATGGGCTTCACACATTGTGCCCATGTGGGGATTTGAACCCGGTTCTTCAGGGTGATGAGCCAACGCTTTAACCATTAGGCTACCCCATCGCCCCCTAGTTGACCTGAGAAGATATGGTTAGAATTGGTCTTCAGCAACACATGCATGTCATTCGAGGTGGCTGTCGCGATACAGTTGTCAGGTTTACTGACTCAACTGACACATCATTGCATCCAATTTGTATAGATTGAATCTTCTAATGTCTATCACTGGATTGTCTGGTCCAGTCTCAGTTGCTGAGTATGACATAAAACAAAAACAAAGAAAACAAACAGAGGAAAAAGTTAATTGTGAGTAAGACTTAAGGTTTCTCAAACTTCTGTGCATATTTCAGAAAGTGTTTAGTAAAGACAGTAAGGTGTTTAGAAGGGGCCCCATACATTTCCCAAAAGGGATTCAAACTCGACAACAGTGTAGCACCTGTACCACTCAGCTATGCCACCAACAATTACTTCTAACAGCAAGTAAGGGGGGAATTATGCTGCTTTTCACAATACTCCAGCAATATCACTGCAAAGGAAACCAGGAATGGGTTTCCTACTTCTACCCATGTGGGTAATCGAACTCAGGTCAACAGTGCAACAAGCAACTGGTTCAACAATAAGGTGACCTCACCGTCCCTCATCACCAGTACCCACACTCAAAACCATACCACAAAGCAAATACTAGACATGATTAAATGAAACAGTGAGCAACAAGGACACAGCAATAATACATGATCAAAAAATGATAACATTCTGCTCCAGCTATTTAGCGGAGAGAATAACAGAACATAGTTTATTATCTTTTCTTTAGAACCTCCAGAAATTGATGAAAAAAGGCTTTATGGAGGTTGTAAACTCAAAGGTGAGGTGAGGTTGGGTGGAGGAGTTCAACTGAGTTGAACACCAGGCAGGGTGACATCAAGCAGTGTTTTCTGACATTATCTGGTATGATGCAGCCAAACACCAGACAGGATGACATCAAGCAGTGTCTTTTGACATCATTTGGTATGATGCAGCCAAACACCAGGCAGGGTAAAATCAAGCACTATAGTTTGACATCATTTGGAATGATGCAGCCAAACACCTGGCAGGGTAAAATCAAGCACCATCTTTTGACATCATTTGGTATGATGATTGTCAGTCAGAGATTTTTGACAGCTGGGAGTTTTATGTCAATTGCAGCACGATTCCAGTCATATCACCACAGTGAGTGAGTGAGTTGAGTTTCACACAAGAAATGAGGACTCCAGTGATCAACGCAAGCATCGATCTGCGCAATGGGAACCGGAATCAAGTCAGCGAAACTGACGCCTCTTACACAAGATAGTGCTAACATCCAAGACTTTACCATCCAGGGCCAGTTCTTAATAGGAATCAGTGTCAGTGCTGTTTACCATCCAGGGCTTCCAGCAGTTGTGTGGTCCTGTGCTCCAGTTGAAGTTAAGCAAAATTGGGCACAGAGAGTCCTTGGATGGCTGACCATGTTTGGCAGCTCAACTCCTGAGAGAAGACTTCAGTCCTCCCCACAATGAAGCACATGAGATACATGTGGTCACACCTTAGGCAAGAGAGTTTGTTCAAAATTGCCTTTGTTAACCAAGCAGAAATTGGGTACCCGGTGGGATAAGTGTGACTATAACCTTCTAGCGTCTCACAGGCAGCTTCGGTTATCCACGGTAATAATGAACTGTGACTTGTATGCACTTAGAGCATGTCCCTCACTGATGTGGATGAGGCACTATAAAAGTACTCTTTTTATTATAATACAAGTGATCTCAGCATTTTCACTTATCACTGCAAATTTGACATGATCATAAAAATAAGAGATATTAAAAGGTCAGCCAAGATTGACAAAAAGGTTTCCAGAGAACAAGTGACCTAGAATTCGGGCCAGCCTTCATGATTCACACAACAGGCAGTTACATCTTCCATGTTAGGGACATGGATACAACACAATCCTATTGTTGAATACTAAGAGGAAACAGAGAGCCAAAACTGACATGTGGGTATGACCCACTTACAAAGTAGGATACTCAATGTGCAAAGTAGAAAAAGAAAACTAATTAAACAGAATCGTGAAAGAGATTTTGTAATAACTTTTCAGTATTTCAGCTCTTATCTAAGAGATATTTTTCATTTAATTCCTAACATCAATCATACATTCTATGCTGTGCATTGTTATTGTGGACAATACAATATGTCATCCACAGTGCAATGTTTGTGATAAACTGTTGAGCATAAATGATATATAAGGTGAGGCCAATGAATGAATGAGTTTAGTTTTATGGCGCACTCAGCTATATGGTGGCAGCCTGTAAACAATCGAGTCTGGGCCAGACAATCCAGTGATCAACAGCATGAACATCAATCCACACAACTGGGATACAATGACATGTGACAACCAAGTCAGCAAGCCTGACCACCCGATCCCATAAGTTGAATGGATACAAATAATTTACATTGGGAATCCTGTCAAATGCAAGAAAGTATGTTGGTTTGAAATCATCAGATACATATACACGAATAACTGATGTATGTATTGAGGTCATATTCACTCGAAGTTCAGAGTACCAATTGCTAATTTTAATCAGTTGAACATTTTAATCACCCAATGTTTCCTATCATCTGCAATGATGTGAACTGTGATGTTGGTAAATAACTTGGAAAGGAACGCACATGTCCAAAATGGTCCTTAGACTTAGAATTTATCAAGTGAGCATTTGTTTGTTTGTTGTTAAATGCCACCCTAAGCTATTATAATCTGTAAATAATTGAGTCGGAACCAGACAATCCAGTGATCAAGGGCTACTAATTGAATGAAACCAATGTGTAGGATGCAGACAGAAAAACGATCATGTAGGAGCCATAACCACACAGGGCAAATTGTGCCATTTCATTACGTTTGAATTAACTCAATACTTCAACATGCACCAATTTGAATGGATTAATGCTCATGTCGATCACTGGACTGCCTGTTCCAGATCTGATGATTTACTGGACTGATAGCTGAAAAATTACAGAGTGTGATGTTAAAGAACAAACAAACTTGGAACTTTCACATCCATGGTTTCATGTTAAGAATGAAAACAGGGAGATATAAGCATAACTGAGTCAAGAATTATCTTTTAATTTATAGACCATAACAAGAATAACATCATTGTGCAAATCAATGCTTTACAGTTCAGGTAGTCTCTAGGCTATTCTTGGTAGAACTAGGATGAACTAGGAGGGAGATTCAAGATTCAAGAGGTCAAACTATACCACAAACAATAAAATATATGGGCTGTCTAACAAAATAAACCACAGACACTTATGATTGATAATCTAACTATTGTAGACTGAAAATTGATCAAATCTGTAAGCAATCCACACATTTCACATAAATGGTGAGAGGTAACATGTTAAGATTGGATGGCTAACAAAGACAGCATTATGAATGTAATATAGAGATGATCTATGAATAACGGGCAACGGTGTATTGCAAGTGTAAGTTAAAACTTTGTTAGTTACCAACGGCGTATCTCAAACATATAGATTATCATTAATAATACTTCCAATTGTATTTATACTTCCAATATTTATGATAACTGACATTTTAGGGGCCCTATAAAATAACAATGTGAAATATATTAAGGATGTTTCCACAGCTCAACTGGTCACTCATTATGAATAGGCAAGTTGCCATATCTTTACAACGGCACCACATTGATAAACACATTCAAATGTTAAGCGACAGTCCACTACAATGGAATAAAGCATGAGTTTGAATGACTCCAGAAGAGATGCAGTGCAAGGTGTCATTTTACATAAAGTTCCAACCCACAAAATCAATACCACTTAAGCATTAAACTCGCAATGTAAATGAACTATTTTGATTGAAATGACATGGTATTTTCAAACGTTACACACAATTTGCTAATTAAAACAGATGTGTAAACACATGCTTTGGTCTGCTCATGATGACAACACTGAACAAGAGGTTCTCGTTTTGTTGCCAAGAACAAAAACAGTCCCCAGACAAGGGGCGATCAACAATAATAAGCTGATTTAAACGTGGGTTTCAATCGACCAGGGAAATAATCAGTTGCTGGTGTAGTAATTAAGTATGGGGCTGTGAATGGAATCTAACGACGACGTTCGACTTGTGAATGGAGCGTTGAGCTGTCACTAGGCATGATCCACACGTGTTCAAGAATGAATCATTAGCGTGTCTAGCAAAGATGGAACAAAAACAACTGACCTGAATGCTTACGAAATCAGACAGAGACATGTACCCGAGTTAGAAATATCCAGAACTACAACCTGACAGGGAATCAGAAGGACTGTTTCCCGTGAGATTCAGAAGCGAATAAACCAATGTTTTACTTACGAGGCTCTCTTTGACTTGTCGTCGTTTTTAAAACGCGGTTTAGCTTTTGAGCGCTTCTTCCGCGCCTGAATGGCCAAAGCTGAAACGAGATATAAAATGTGCGGTTACTAATTAACTGATAAGTCATGAAAATATCAAGACAACTCTATATTGGGTGAAAATACCAAACCTTTTCTAGGAATTTTCGAGCTCATCGTCTTCTCTCAGATACATTTGGAGACCCGGTACGCATGCGTGATATATGACAGGGGCATTGTGGGATATGATTTCCGGACACAAGCCTGAGCAATGAACAGTGCTGAAGCGCGGAAGCGCATTACATGGCAGCGCCAAATTCGAAATAGAGTGAAACGATAACATAACAAACCGCATGCACTGTGCTAAAACTATGCAGGTACCTTTGTACATAGCAAAATGTTGTACTTTCTACTCTCCTGCGAGCACACCAACTGCTGAAGCCTTGGAATATTCCTCCTCAGTTTATGAACAGTTTTGTCGAAACCAGGAACCCGACATATCCTGCTCTGTTGGACGACGCATGTCGATTAATTCAGATCTTAATATGTTAACATGGTGGTCGACAGGGCTCTCGCCTGTCTCGCGATAAAACGAATGACGTCACAAAACGAGCACTGTCCGTTACTCTACGTCACTGTGTACTATGATGTTACATTTTTTCATTCAGGGTGACGTCACAGTCTCGTCATTGTCTCGGGTTGGCGTTCTATTTCGAGGAGCCAAACAAGTGTTTCGCGTATGAACGACGATACAATTTTAGAACATTTGTTTTCACGAAAAGCTTTAGATAATGATTACTATTTAAATACACTGCATTTTCTTCTTGGGGCTATTCGTATGATCACACTGGCGTCACATCGTATTTGAGAATAATATTTTTTCCTTACTGCAGATATCTACAAACTTCAGGAATTGTCCTACCCGAGCCATAGTATCAAGCAATTGTGATATTTTCCACAAATACGTCGGATTAAAATGGTTATGAAATTTAAACTATATATTTATCTTAAGCTGATTAAATGGCTTGCACAAATAGGTGAAAAGAGCTGTTTCAGTTTTTATGAATGAAATATTATAATTGAAAGAAGCCTTCCTATTTCATCGATTGTTGGGGTGTGTCTAGCTAATGCCAAAACACCTGGAAATGAATAACTTATAATTTTCATCAGCAAATCAGTCATGCATTTCTTTTTCATATAATATGTTTTATAGAATGATTACAATGAGACAGAATATCCCGAAATCATTCCAAAAATAGAGTTGGAAGCGGAATTTAAATGACACATCTCCAGAAATCAATCGTTCTTGTGTACTAAGTATATGAGGAACACTCCATTTGTACTAAAAGACGCCGAGCCATAGAAAGTGTAAGAAGAGACACTGGTCTCTACACCTCGTGTAAAAATACGCGAGGTGTCTGTTACGGGCACTTACGGCCTGGGTCTCTAATGCTTCCTGGATCTTTATTACACCCAAGGTCTCTAATGTCTGCAAGGTCTCTGTACATAAGATTCTGGGTCCCTAATGCTTGCTACTTCCCGTATACCTGCATGGTCTAACGTACAGACCCGGGTCTCTAACACCTGCAAGGTCTAACCACGCCCCGGGTCTCTAATGCGTGCTGGGTCTAGCTTACACCCCGGGTCTCTAGCACCTGCAAGGTCTAACTTACACCATCAGTAACACAATGTCTCTGAGTAAATTTCGTTCATATTTATTACTCTCAACACGTACACAACATCCATTAGCTTCCACTTACACTCCATCCCACAGCTTTCACGTACACAGAACCCCAAAGCTTTCACTTACACGCCATCCCATAGCTTTCACTTACACAGCATCCTTTAGCTTTCACTTACACACCATCCCTTAGCTTTCATTTACACAACATCCCATAGATTTAACTTTCACAACATCCATTAGCTTTCACTTTCACAACATCCATTAGCTTTCACTTACACACACCACCCATTAGCTTTCACTTACACAACATCCATTAGCTTTCACTTTCACAACATCCATTAGATTTCACTTACACAACATCCCACAGCTTTCACTTACACACCATCCCATAGCTTCCACTTACACAGCATCCCATAGCTTTCACTTACACACCACCCCAAAGCTTTCACTTACACACCATCCCATAGTTTCCACTTACACAGCATCCCATAGATTTCACTTACACACCATACCATAGCTTTCACTTACACACCATACCATAGCTTTCACTTACACACCATCCCATAGCTTTCACTTACACACCATCCCATAGCTTTCACTTACACACCACGCCATAGTTTTCACTTTCAGAACATCCCATAGCTTTCAAAACATCCAATAGCTTCCACTTTCACACCATCCATTAGCTTCCACTTTCACAACATCCATTAGCTTCCACTTACACACCATCCCATAGCTTTCACTTACACACCATCCCATAGCTTTCACTTACACACCATCCCATAGCTTTCACTTACACACCATCCCATAGTTTTCACTTTCACAACACCCATTAGCTTTCACTTACACACCATCCATTAGCTTCCACTTTCACAACATACATTAGCTTTCACTTACACACCATCCCATATCTTTCACTTACACCCCACGCCATAGTTTTCACTTTCACAACACCCATTAGCTTTCACTTACACACCATCCATTAGCTTCCACTTTCACACCATCCCTTAGCTTTCACTTACACACCATCCATTAGCTTTCATTTTCACACCATCCATTAGCTTCCACTTTCACAACATCCATTAGCTTTCACTTACACACCATCCCTTAGCTTCCATTTACGCAACATCCCATAGCTTTCACTTACACACCATCGATTAGCTTTCACTTACACACCATCCCTTAGCTTCTATTTACGCAACATCCCATAGCTTTCACTTACACACCATCCATTAGCTTTCACTTACACACCATCCCTTAGGTTTCCATTTACGCAACATCCCATAGCTTTCACTTACACACCATCTATTAGCTTTCACTTTCACAACATCCATTAGCTTTCACTTACACACCATCCCTTAGCTTCCATTTACGCAACATCCCATAGCTTTCACTTACACACCATCGATTAGCTTTCACTTACACACCATCCCTTAGCTTCTATTTACGCAACATCCCATAGCTTTCACTTACACACCATCCATTAGCTTTCACTTACACACCATCCCTTAGGTTTCCATTTACGCAACATCCCATAGCTTTCACTTACACACCATCTATTAGCTTTCACTTTCACAACATCCATTAGCTTCCCCTTACGCAACATCCCATAGCTTCCACTTACACAGCGTCCACTGGTAAACGAGATCCTTACACGGTAGAGTCGGCAATGACATTATGCCTTGATGTACTGTCAAGTGTCGCGGCATACTCAGCGGTACCTGTTATCACGAAACCATAGTTCTTCTTGGCCATGTTCAGTCATCAAACACCGCTGCATTGCGAAGGCACAAAGGAGACGTATTCAGATTTATTTGCTGTCTGAAGAAACCAGTGGTTGTGTATCATGAGTCGGCAGCCATGTCATGTCTGTAAGTAACCAAATAAATCATAGACCAGAGGTTTATGGCAGAAGCTATATTCGCTGTCGGAGTACGATTCAGTTGGACATTGTTTCCACCCGATTTTCAGGTGAGTCTATCCTGACCAAAAGGGGAGACAGGTCTGATCTTCGGGGGCATACGTTAAATATGTCAGTGAGTGAATTTAGTTTTACGCCGCTTTTAGCAATATTCCAGCGACATTACTACGGGAACACCAGGAATGGGCTTCATACACTTCCAGCTTAGACAAAACGTTGTCGCAACGTTGTGGGGAGGTTGTAGACTGGTAACGTCACGACACAACGCTGTCACAACGTTAGTATTACGTCACTTTATAACGTTATGTCACAGTGTAATAACAGCGTAGTAAATTTACGTTGAGGAAACCTCATGATTTACGCTCCTCACAACGTATGTTTCTTATAACTTGGTGTCACGATAGAGTTTTCTATATAACTTTTCACTTTCAGATCCTTTCTTCAGTATTCAGCTGCAGCTTCAGAAACACGACCAAAAAAACGTGCAAATTGACGAATAAACATTGAAGTGAATTTCTGCTTTGTTTCTTATTTACTGTTCACTACTACGTTAAATAGAAAAAAATGGACGATGGAAAATACGTTAGCATCAAACAGCTTTACTTGTGGCGACGTAAATATGACGCATCACAACATCATGTGACAACGTTGTGACAACGTATATGTTACGCTGTAACAACGAAAGCATAACGTCCTGACAACGTGAAATTGTTAGCTGAGTTCTGCCCATGTGGGCAATCGAAGCCGGGTCTTCTGCGTGACGAGTGAACGCCATAACCACCAGCAGTGTATGAAATAAGGCCCGACCGACCGCCCGAGACGGTCTAGATTTCCGACGGACGGTCTACATTTACAGCTAGCCAGCCCGATGGTCTGGTAATTTTTTTTAGATGTTCCATACATCTGAGTAAATTCACCATATTTGGTCTGGTTAAATCCATTTTGGGCTGGTAACATTTTGAAGTTTTGATGTCTGGCTGGAGTTTTGGCTTATTTCATACACTGGCACTAGGCTACCCCACTGCCCTGTTAAATATGTGAAATATATCTAGCTAGAAACATTAGGTGAAGCACTGGCTTTCTCAAACACAAGAACGTAACACCTACAAGTGCAACATCAACAAGACCACAATTAACACGGCCATAATTTGTGACCGGGCACATGTTGCTCTACGTCGCCATCAGCACCACACCGGCTATACCCGGAACTGGGACTAGAGGACCAGTGGTGGAAAGCATGAACAACGATCTGACTAACGCCTGACTCCCGTTTTGGGTTGGGATATTGGGTGCCATTGTACAAAACGAAGTGAGTGCTAAAACTGGCGCATGAGTGTGTTGGGTTTTACGCCACGTTTAGCAATATTACAGCAATATCACGGCGGGGACACCAGAAATGGGCTTCACACAATGTACCCACGTGGGCATTTGAACCCGGGCCTTCGGCTTGGTGAGCGAACGCTTTAACCACTGGGCTACCCCATCGTCCCTACAATTGTCGTAATGTATGGGAGTTAACATTATTCTTTTGTATGGATAAACGGTTGCCAAAGCAGGTGGCTATCCACGTCTTTTCCACTCGGTTTACCATAGTCCAGTGGGTTATATAAAAAGTAAATAACGGATTA